TATGTTATCTGGTGGCGTTTAAATCAAATGTGCCCAAATATCTCTTCTGTAAATCACTAGCTCAGTCAGACGGATATTTTGTCCCTTGTAGACAAAATTTTATATTCAAAAATATTCACTTTGTCGATAATTTGAATTTATATTGAAAGAATCTTAGATGTTACAAATATATTTCCATTTATTCTAATTTTATTAGTATGATACTTGCATCTGCTTGTGCAAAACTTTCATATTTAAACGAAGCCTTATAATTTTAAAAAAAAATATTACAGTAAATAAATTTTTAAAAAAAATTTATAACTATGTTTAAAATCATTGGGTCTGTTCTTTGACTCGAAGCTTTTGGTGCCAGCTTTAAATTCCATCAACTTTTGAGAAGTTTATCGTTTAACGATTGCTAATTATTCAACTATTGATTTTTGACTGATTCGTTTCCTAATTTTCACGTGACGCCATTATTCCTTATGTAATAATAATTCTTTTATCAATATTTTAAATACTTCATTTAGATAATTAAACTACAATAAAAAATTTAAAATCTTAAAGAATTATAAAATACAATTCAAGATTTTTACAAACTTAGAAAATTCCTACTGAATGTGATTTTATCATTCTACTTTAAATTCACAAACCAAATTCTCAATTTATATAAACTTCTATTTCGCTGAAAAAGTGAAAAAACTATTATCGGAGCAGTGTTGGAAAATATTAGAATATTTTGTAATAAAATGAAAAGTTTGCTTTCAAAACAATTATATTCTAGACAAAATCGTCTATTTATAACAAAGCGAGTAGGAAAGAACACCTCTACTCTTCTCTTAAGATGAAAACCAAATAAACTTTTCAATTTTTTTCGGAAAAGAGTTATAATTGCCTCTACTCTTCTCTTAAGATGAAAACCAAATAGACTTTTTTCAGTTTTTTTCGGAAAAGAGTTATAATTGCCTCTACTCTTCTTTTAAGATGAAAACCAAATAGACTTTTCAGTTTGTTTCGGAAAAGAGTAAAATTGCCTCTACTCTTCTCTTAAGATGAAAACCAAATAGACTTTTCAGTTTGCTTCGAAAAAGACAAAAAATTGCCTCTACTCTTCTCGTAAGATGAAAACCAAATAGACTTTTCAGTTTTTTTCGGAAAAGAGTTATAATTGTCTTTACTCTTCTCTTAAGATGAAAACCAAATAGACTTTTCAGTTTGTTTCGGAAAAGACTTATAATTGTCTCTACTCTTCTCTTAAGATGAAAACCAAATAGGCTTTTCAGTTTGTTTCGGAAAAGAGTTATAATTGCCTCTACTCTTCTCTGAAGATGAAAACTAAGTGTATTTTTCAGTTTGCTTCGGTAAAGAGTAGATATTGCCTCTACTCTTATCTTAAGATTAAAACTAAATTGACTTTTCAGTTTGCTTCGGAAAAGAGTAAAATTGATTCCACTCTTATCTTAAGATTAAAACTAAATTGACTTTTCAGTTTGTTTCGGAAAGGAGTAAAAATTGCCTCTACACTTCTCGTAAGATGAAAACTAAATAGACTTTTCAGTTTGTTTCGGAAAAGAGTAAGAATTGCCTCTACTCTTCTCTTAAGATGAAAACCAAATAGACTTTTCAGTTTGTTTCGGAAAAGAGTAAAAATTGCCTCTACTCTTCTCTTAAGATGAAAACCAAATAGACTTTTCAGTTTGTTTCGGAAAAGAGTGAAAATTGGTTAGTCGGTTCGTTCACGTAGCGAAATGAAACAATTTGTGACTGAGTGGGGTCGAAAATCATTTATGGACAGTCCCATAGATAGCATATATAAATGATAAGATATATACATAGATAAGATATATAAATGAAGAAAGATTTGGATTAATTTCCAAGAAATGAAAAAAACGAAATAAAAAAAGGCATCAACCTATCTTTTTCATTCAAGTAAATTTTGATACTTTTGTAATTAAATACTTTTTAGATACATATTATTTTAACAAAGGAAGATTCTTTTCTTTCATAAAATTACAATCGGAATAAAATTAGTGTAAATGACCGGACATAAAGAGTCACGTGACATCTAGTCAACGATAATACACCTCGTTTTAAAAAAAGTATTGAAAGGCTTCCTCCTAAACGAAACGAATTTTGAAAAAAAAATGGCAACCAATTATTATTTGATTTTGACTTGTTATTCTTCAATCAGTGTCATTAATTGGCACTTCTAATTATGTGCTTTCATACTACAAGAGATGCGTGATGCACCGCTGAAAAAATAATCAAAAGAATACCCACCAACTACATAAATGTAAAATATTTATTCGTAAATTCAGATTCAATTCATATTAAGTCCAGGTCTATCAAAGTCATTTATGCGTTAAATTTAAGTACATGTGGATCAAACCGGTGTCGTTAAATCTATCATTAAAAATTCGTAGCCTATTTATTGTGCTAAAAAAATGATCGATTCATGCTGTGTTTAATATCTTACCGGTAATTAGCGTAAAAATTATTTTAATTAAATGTCATTTTTTCGATTAAATATTTTCTATAAAGGAATAAGATAAAATAAAATCGTTTATAACAAGTCACGGTGAACTCAACAACTTTTTTTTATTAGAATCATCACTTTTTTTAACTATCGATTCTCCTTTGCTTAATCAGGTAAGGAATTGATCTGTTAACATATGCTGTACTGGTTAACACATTGCAAGCCTGTCTCGAGAAACTACGTGTTTGAAATTTTTGTGATCCAGGCAAAAGTTTAAAAAGTGGAAACAAATTTATTTCGTTTAGGCTCTATTTTTCCAAAGAAAGTATTCATTTGTGATTACTACAAACATGAATAGTTCAGTATACATATAATCAGTATTATAATCGTTCGGTAATCAGTAGCCTAATTTTGTTTAAAAAATTGAAGTTGTAGCTATAGTAGTTTGTTCCAACTTTCATGAAATCATACCTACCACTTTTTTAAAAATTTCCATCTATAACAGCTGTAGTACATTTTTTTGGAGAAATAGCCCGCATGCCATATGTTAATAAACACATTCTCCCAACGTTTAAGCCTAAATATTAACTTAAGCCTAGCTGGTCGCTATGTGCTGATAAGATTCTTTATCGAAAACATTATATTTATTTTTGAAATTTTTGTTTAAATCAGTGGTAGTTAATTGTTAGCTTGGAAAAATATTTAGTAAAAGTCGCAAATGCTGAAATTGAATCGCAAAACAGAATAGAAGTAGCAAATCCCCCAAATTTTACCAACGATCAACATTTTGTTACTTATTTATTTTTAATAAATAAATAACATAAGAAACAAAATGCCAATTTTAAAGTTTTAAATGTCTTAACTCACTTCTCTATGGGAAAAGTATTTATGAAAAATCTACAAATCGTAAATATTTCAACTAATACGGAATTTTCGAGATTAAAGTAAAAGATAATTCCTTGTGGTAGTAAGAGTTAAACGTTATTTTTTATACTTTGTTTCATAAATTGGGTTTAAAAGCATATTAACGGCAATATTTCTTTTATATAATTTAAAAAACTATCTATAAAAGGTTTACATATCATTGACAATTGCTTTCATTTGCTACAAAATGAAACTAAATAATACGACAAAAAATAATTAAATAAACACTACAAACTAAATTTAAACTTTAATTTTTCCTTTTTAATTTTTCAAAACAATTTTCGAAAATTTTAGCTTTATTTTAATGACTTTATCATACTCCCAACATTTCATTCGAAAATGAAAATTCAAACAAAAATAGAAAATGTAAAACTAGAAGAATATTTTTCTACTATTATTTAAATTAATAATAAAAAAATAATATTTACGAAAATTTTTATTTTTGAAATGTTATTAGTTTCGAATAAAATAATTTTAGGATTGTGTTCAAAAATTTTTCAATTAGATTAATTTTGCGAATTCGAGTAACTTTAGCAAAAAGTAACTCTAAGGGGTTCAAACTTTCGATTGAACTCTGGGGACCATATATTTTTGGAGTCAGAAATCTGAAACCGTTTTAAAGAAAAAAGGTATGTTTTATTCAGTCAAAGTACGGTTTTATGTCTTATTTTGTAACGTAAACATCGTCTGCACTAATTAATTAGCATATTTGAGGTCAATTCCTCCTACCATTAAGAATGAGTCCTAAAACGTGAAGGTCCAATCACTAAATTAAAATTTATTCCCGTAGGTTCGTTTTTTCTTGGCGAGCTGCACATGAACATAAAATGTAACAAAGGGTAATAAGATTGAAACATTTATTCTTATTTACTAACTTTTATTTTTAGTAATTCTAAGTATGTTAGGAACCTTTGATTACATTTTTAACTTTTTTTTTATTTAGTAATCATCATTATTTTTCCTTAAAGAATAGTTACTATGAATATTTCGAAATTATCAACACCAACGAAGGTCACTCATAAACCACTTTAAATCTCATTTCAAATTAGAAAAGCATTCTTCGAAATAATTCCATTTAAAAAAATATATCACCGATAAACAAAGAAATCGGTTTCTGAAATGAAATGAGTTTTCATTTGAAATTCCAAACGATAATTTATTTGAATGGTTTTTCTAAACTTTGAGTCACTCACTATTCTATTTTTAAACAAATGCTATCATTTTAATCTGCTGAAGTGAAGGAAGCTAGTTTTTGATCTAACAATCTGGGTAAAAATGTGTCATTGTAAAAGTTTTTCTACATCCTTTTTCTCAGCAACTTTCCTTTCCCTCGTTTGGCAACAAAGAGCAAGGTCGAAACGGAAACTATCATCAAAGAAATCTTCGTCCTTTAATGCTGCTTGCATTCGAAGACTTCCTTACTTATAACGCCTTTTGTTGGAAATGATAATTTAAATTAAAAGGAATTGTAACAAAATGTGAAGGAGAGTACTCAATTGAACTACTTTTTATAATACTTTTATTCTTTGAAAAGAAATTATGCACAGATATAAAACTGTTTCAATGTAAGCTTTATTTTTTCAAAGAAATACATTAGATTTATAAATCAATACTTGCTTCTTACAAAAAAATTCGTAACAATTTGAAATATTTTTGAAAATGTTCCAGATTAATTACATATAGGTTTCAATTTGATAAAATAATTATAGCTGTTTACTTTTTGATTTTATTAGAAATATTCTATGTCTTTAGCGCTTTCATCATTTCTTTTTCTTGAAAAATGAAATGTTTGTAGTATTATATTCAAGTAAACGCTTTTGTTGGCAACTAGGTATAGCTGGTCATGCAGTAATTATCATTACATTGGGACTATTTTAACATGAACTGATGATAAATATTCGTAATTCAATAACCATTTTAGTTTTTAAAACTAATAACTAATTTGCCAAATATGATGTTGTTACACCCCCTTTTCAAAATATTTTGGGCAGTGCTTAATAGAGAATCGGACTCCGCGGGAGTCGGGATTCGATCCTCTTCTCCGCTAAGACCCATCAAGTACATCTGATGTACGTACTCGTAAAATCTGTGGAATCAAAAGTCATGCTGTCGGTCACACAAGAAGTACCTGGAGAAAATTTCTTTCCCTGTCAGATCTATGTCTAAATTGAGGAAGTGGTCTCACGAATGAATGGTCCTGCCTTCCACCATGGGGTTTTGAGCTAAAACGTACTTTCACCCTTGCGGTGCATTCTTGTCAAACGAAAAGCGCACCTTCTTAACTTAATTCGCAAAAAGTCAGGAAGGTGCGCCTTTCATGTGTCTTTCCAATAGGTGGTGAGCTTGACTTGTTCAAGTGTCATAAAAAGCAACAAAATATTTAAAATAGTAGGGAAATAACAATCAATATCAGCCAGCAATCAAAAATACATTATTACAGCTCAAATTTCAGCTCTTATATAAAACTTCAATTGTATTGTTTGCTGTTTCGGTAGTAGTTCAAAAAGCATAGGTCCAAGTAACAAACGTTTAGCATGAAAATAAATCCAACTGCATTACCAATGTGTGTTTAAGCTGAAATAAGTTCAAGTAATATAAAAATAGCAATCGAGAACATATCAATGTTATGAACAATAAAAAATAGATTTTACAAATCGGATACATTTGCCTTCAACTCTTTGGAAACATGTTCTCATATACACATTTTATTTATACATTAGATATAACTAAGAATGTCTGTAAATGCCCTATAATAAAAATATTAAAAAAGTACCTTAATGAAAAAAAGTGGTTGGGCATTTTCCTTTTGTACACATTAGATGCATCGTTAAGTTTTGTCGGTTACGTTCGTTACTAATTTGAATATATCTGCAAATGCATGCCATATATATATATATATATATATATGCTATGATGTCTCTTTAAACTGGAATATTACTTTTAAAAGGGCAAATACCGTACCACTTTATTTTACAAAAGAAACTTTTGCATTAATGTAAAAAAAAACATGTCATTTCGTGGGGATAATTTTTTTGTTAGATCTAATATTATAGTGTACAGAGCCATATGACTATTTGACTCTTAAATTTTTTGAGAAACTAGTGAATATCAATTATTGAAACTATAGATTTTACACTCACATTTAACAGAAATGTCATGCAATTGATTGAAGTGGTAGGGCTATGCGTTTATTTAAAGAGTCTTCCAGCATTATAATAATACGATTGAATGACACATGTTAGTGCTTAAGTTTTTTATAAGTAACACAGATGGGTCAAAACCTTTTTCAATCCATTTCCCATCTTTTCACTAAAATAAAGAATGAGCAAATCGATTAACTTCTTTAGTGTAAAATACCTTATATACACCAGTTCTTGGAAAACTCACATAATTTTTGTTCGGAAACAAGCAATGGTGGATAAAATATTTTGGAGCACTGTTGTTCAACCCATTAACAATTTTGGATTTTCCAAACAAAGTTTGAAAACCACTTTTTGCACCCAGCTCAGATTATCGCCACCTAAGTTATGCAATAATTAGATTTTAAGCTTTTAAAATCGATTGGTATTTACTAGAATTTATTAGGGTAACAGTTGCTTATAAAAAAATTATGTTTTTTTCAACCAAATTCCCGCAGATATTGCGTATACCTATGCTTATGTATATTAGAAATCTTAGTATCAGCCCGCTAGGGGATCTATCTAATTCGTCATATGAGAGTATGTCTTTGCGTATACTTACTTTACTTTATTTAACAAAAGCTGGGCCGTGCAGAAGCCCCTTGTCCCATTCATTGTGAAATTACAGAAAAATTAAAAAATATCAACAGTTTGTATACAGAGTCTCAGGGGTGACTGATATTGTAGAGCAAGCACCTTGCTTGTTTAACTGAAAAGAAAAGTGAAAATAATTGTAAGCAACTTGCTATAATAAAGTCATTGCGTATACTCATACTCATATGTGTTGGTTATCTTAGCATCAGCCCCGCTAGGGGCTCCAACTAATTCATCTGAGTGGATCATTGCGTATACACAACACTTTGCGCTAATCTAAAAAAATTATCTTCATGAAAAAAGTGGTAAGGATTTTTTTTAAAACTTAATAGATCATTTCTAATGTTATAGCTGTCACTTTAGTTAATTTTTCGTACACAAATGTTTTATATAAACAAGAAAATTTGCAATAATGAATTAATTGAGCTACCAGTTTTTATTTTAGAAGAAGCGTTGATGTGGGGATTCCACGGCTACCAAAAATATAAAAAATGGTAGAAACTTATTTCATCTTTATTTAATTATTCAATTATAATTACCATCACGACTTACATTGCAGGCATTAAAAAGAAATCATTCTTTGAGATCATTTTCAATAGTAAACTGAAATAAATATGCTAGATAAAGTTGCTAATTTAATCTCGTTTAACCACTTGGGGACGGGTGATTCATAAAAGCATTCGTACAAAATCAGAATCAGGATGTAATTAAATAAATGAACGGTATCTTAAATGTAGTCGTTTCTAATTTGACAGACTTACTTTGCTTTTACTTCAATTATTGTTAGTTTAATCATATATATAATCAATGTTAATTCAAAGTATAACTAAATAATTTTATTTTGAACACAGTAATGGTGAATTAAATAAATCAAACAATTATAACTCCGCCCACAAATAAACTGCTAACGAATTACTTTGATTACCAGTTTTATCTTTTTACCCTGATTGATACGGTTTAATGCTGGCACGTATTTGTGACAGTCGGCGCGAAAGGGTTAA